ATAGTGGGAATAATTTTGCAGGTTTCTCCTAGGTTGAAATATCTGTCTAGAACAGGCAATAAGCACTCTTTTTTTTTTTTGCGATAGGGCATGCGCGCTCGCCAGAAAGACAGAGAGACAGAAAGCGAGAAATCAACCCCTGAAGGATAGCCATGCTGCAATCCCTTCTCCTCCATTCTCCTCTTGGGATCTTGGGCACGCACACACATGTGCCCGGCATGAGTTTAACCACCGGGTCCAGGACACAAACCACGGTGGACTACATGGGAGTCTAGCAACATAGCCATTACGCCAACTGCTGGTCCCGAGTGCTCAGTTTTTAAGAATCAATTTCCCTTCCCTCAACTACATGAAAAGTCAAGAATATACAGAGAATAACAAGATAAAAATATAAAAGTCACAAATTCTAAGCACAGGTAGCTAAGAGCATAACAATTAGCCTTCCAAGAAGAGATTAAATCAGAACCAGAGTATCTTCCCATCCAGCCCAAACACCTAGTCAGAATCCATCTACATCTGAGGTGGGCCCTGCTTCTTTAACTGAAAAGTTGCTGCTCTAAACCTCTCCTTCCAGTCCAAACACCTAGCCAGGTAGGGCTGTCTCTGTCTTCTTTCTGTCTCTCTCTTTAAATTTTTTTATAGTTTTAAAATATTTTTAAATACTGTATCTCACCTCTGACCTCTCCTTTATGTTGCTAATTTCAGAATCCATTTATATTTGAGGTGGGCCCTGTTCCTTTCATATGGCTTGCAAGCACTCCGTGTGGTTTTTATTTCTTGCCTTTTAAAAAAATTGTTTCCCCTGTTTCTTGGGTGTGATTTTGGTCTCTCTCTTTTATTTTTTCTTCTTTTCCCCTTTGTTTTCTTTTCTTTTACCTGACTTTCTCACTTTGCTTCTCAGCTCTCACAGAATGTGCAGAAGGTCTAGGCACACAGTAGCCACACATCTGAGTACTTTTAGGGTCATAGAAAACCTGAATCCCCCACTGAACCTGCTTCACAAAGGGAGAAACTAATCTTGATAAATCAGAACTGAAATCTCTTTCTGTGGATACCATGTTGCAAAACACAGTAGAGGAGAAAAATTGGCAAAGAAGTACTTCACAGTAAAGTGAAGCATATGAGCTTACAGTTGCAGAAACCTTCTCCAACAAATTGGTCAAAAGTGAATATAACACCAAATGACTAAAAAGCAAAAGAGAGAATGCAAAGTAAGCAGCAGGGGAAAAAATACAGAGCTTCAGAAAGAGCATGGCTCATCTCTTCCCACATGCCTCTGAACTTTCAGTTGAAACCTCACAGCTCAGCCCAGGAGCACCTGTTCTCTAGAAACTGGGAGGCTTTTGTAATACCCAGTTCCAACAACAAAAGCACAGGTTGCTTGGTGAGTATCAGGGAAAGAGGAAACAGAAATGCAGAGATATTGTGGGTCATCTCCTCCCACACACCTCTAACACTCAGATTTAACTCCAAGAAATTAAGAAGAAACATATAACCCATCAGATGACCAGGAGCCACTGCAGAGGCACAAGAAATAAAAGAAACCAAGACAATATCTCTCCCCCAAAGGAAAAAAACAGCTTTTCATCATCCACAGACAGACAATGGAGCTCATGGAAATGTCAGATGAAGAATTCAAAATTTTCATAGTGACAAAACTAATTGAGATACAAGAAAAGAGAGACAACAAACTTCAGAAGATACAAGAGAAAAGAGACAGTGAGTGCCCAGAGATGAGGAAGTTCTTCAACAATTTGTTTACACTTTTTTTTTTTTGAGAGTTTTTTTTTGCTATAGGGCGCGTGCGCTTGCCAGACAGACAGAGAGAGACATAGAGACAGAAAGCGAGAAATCACACCCCAGAGGGGATGGTCACACCACAATCCCTTCTCCTCCATTCTCCTCTCGGGATCTTGGGCACAAACGCACATGTGCCTGGCGTGAGTTTTAAGTCACCGGGTTCGGGACGTGAACCGTGGTCGACTACGTCCAGCGACATAGCCATGACGCTAACTGCTGGTTCCCTTCAACAATTTGAAAGAAGAAGTACACACCATAAAAAAGAATCAAAAAGAATTGTTAGAGATGAAGGCTGTACACTACAGGAAATCAAAACTTTCCTTGAAAGTATTAAAAGCAGATTAGACCATGCAGGTCAAATCTTGGATGTCAAAGAGAAAACCTCTAGCATACAAAAAAAAAAAATCACCAAAAAAAATAACCTGAGAAAATAACCCCCAAAACATGAGAATAATATACGAGAAATACTGGATACCATTAAACGCTGAAACATCCAGATAATTGGTATCCCAGAAGGCAAAGGAACTAATAATGGCATTGATAATCTATTCCATGAAATCTCGGGAGAAAACTTTTCAAATATAGAAAGGCATCCAAATATCCAGATGCAAGAAATAGAAAGACAAGATACTGAAATTGGGAAGAGAGAAACTTTAAGCTACTTACAAAGGTTATTCCATCAGGCCAACATTGGACATCTCAGAAACAATGCAAGCGAGGGAAGAATGGGAATATATATTCAAAGTGTTAAAAGAAAAACCATCTGGGGACCAGAAGTTGGCGTAATGGCTATGTCGCTAGACTCTCATGTAGTCGAATGCAGTTCCGGTCCTAGATCCAGTGGCTTAAACTCACGCCGGGCACATGTGTGTGCATGCCCAAGATCCTGAGAGGAGAATGAAGGATAAGGAACTATGGCATGGCCATCCTCTTGGGGGGTGATTTCTCACTTTCTGCATCTCTCTGTCTTTCTGGAGAACGCATGCACCCTATAGCAAAAACCTCTCCAAAAAAAGAAAAAGAAAAATCATTTCAACCAAAAATACTATACCCGTCAAGACTATCCTTGATATGAGAAGAAAAGATAAAAAGCAATCTCAGATCAACAAAACCTGAAAGAATTTACCAACACCAAACCAGCTCTTCAAGAAGTTCTGAAGAGAGTGCTATACCAAAAAACTAAAGAGAGACAAACAGAAATAAGAGAGAAAAAAACATCCAAAAAAATGGCCAACTTAATGGTAGGGAAAAGTCCAGAAATATCAATAATAATGTTAACTTCCAGGATTCAAACAGAAAGATTAGACCACAGTAACACTGCAGATTAAACAGAAGAGAGATTAATTACAAGAGACTGAACTGGTAAAATAGAATTTTATGATTTTTGACTAAAACATTACTGATTTTCTTCTACAATTTGTCTTCCAGATTTAAGAATTTTTGTTTTCTTTTGAGTTGTTGATAGGTTCAGCAACTTGTTAATTTTTTTAAATTGAAACTTTTCTCCCTTCCTGCCCCTCTGGAATTGAAAATATATGTGAGCATTCTTATTTGTGGAAGAATGGTTATTTGCATAAGTTCAATAATATCTGTTGCCTTGCTTCAGAAATTTGAAATACTGGTTATTACCAGGGCTTTGTCTGGAATGTCATATCTGAAGATATGACTAGAAAGCTAAGAAACTAAGGTAGATCTCAAGAAAGCCAACAGAAGCTCTTAGAAAGATTGTCTGGTACCATAAACAGTTGTGCCTGGCAAGTAAGTAAAGAATGTCACCTCCTGACAGGCCCAAAAAACTCGTGAATACCAGTACTTACAGGTACAGTCAGATGGTGAATTCCTGAGTTGGCTCAGTAGCCTTGGGAGGCTTTTAAAGAGTCTAATCTGAAGTTCTTTATAAAAGGTTCCAGCAAAGCCAACTAAATCAGTGAGTATTCTTACGGGGCTTTGTGCAAATAACAGACCAAATTGAGACTAAACTCATTTTTTTTTTTTTTTCAAGTAAGCTATGCCTCTCTTTAGTAAAAGGGGGAATGGAAAGAGAAAAGATGTTTCAGAAGAAAATTACAGTGTACTTGTTACTAGATTTTAGCTTTGTCAATATCTATGTTTTTACTTTTTAGTATCTACCTACTGTTTGAACAGAATCCTAACCTTTTTCCTCACTTTAAGTCTTAAGCAAATTTTTCTTAACATTTTTTGATTTATTAAAGCTAAAACTGCTTTTCTTGAAATTTGAAAAAAAAATAGAAAAAAAATAAATGCAAAACAGACCTACTTAATAACCATAGTAAGCTGTATAGCCTCAGCTAGGTGCTACTTTATAGTATGTTCATTCTACTTACTGAGTTTTATGCCTAAAGTCAGACATGTGTTTATAGATATGTTTATATCACCTGTACTTACTATTTTTTTTTCTTTTTTTGGAGAGTTTTTTGCTATAGGGCACATGCGCTCGCCAGACAGACAGAGAGAGACAGAGAGACAGAAAGCGAAAAAACCCCCCCCGGGGGGATGGCCACCCCGCAATCCCTTCTCCTCCACTCTCCTCTTGGGATCTTGGGCATGCACGCACAAGCGCCCGGCGTGAGTTTTAAGCCACTGGGTCCGGGACGCGAACCGCGATCAACTACGTGGGAGTCCAGCGACATAGTCATTATGCTAACTGTTGGTCCCACCTGTACTTACTATTGAAAATAGTTTATTTAAGATATTTTGTGAATCAATAAAATGTGGAAAAAAGACTAGAAAAAAATGAGAAAAGAGTATAAGAGTGTGTAATGAAATTCCGATATGAGAAATGTTCTGAATATATTAAGTATATAAAAATACAAATGTAAAAAGCATATTATAAAATATATTTATGTATATAAATACATGAAAATTGTAGCATGAGAAAATGTTGTAAATATAATAAACCATAAAATGGACCTTAAAAAATTAAATAAATATATAAAATAAAGTTTATTCATTCCCATTTCAGGATCAATAATGCATTAAATTTCTCAATGTTCTTAAGCCCTGCCACTCTGGTTTCTTATATCACACTGGGTCCATTGCAGTTTTGTCACGGTCTTTAATGATGCGTTCTGTAAAGACCCAATTGTATATCCCATTCTTATGACTTGGAAGCAATGAATTTTGTTCAGGACTCTGTCTGATTTTTGGAATACTAGAGATAAACTCTGAGCAATACATACCCACAGTTACATCGAGAAGAGAGTACAGCCTCCAAGGCACCAATCTCCTTTTTAGTAACCATATAACATTATCCAGGTTTCTTAAAGTCCAGTAGGAGAGGGGAAAAAAAAAAAAGATAGGATTATCATCCTTACCAATATCATGTCCTAAATGGGTTCTAGTTCATTTTTTCTGGACTTCAGCCTTTAGATTATATTCAGACTCTCTGGTTCCCTCCTGCCAATTGCCATAAACACCTCCCTGGGAACAGTTTGCTGGGACACAAATACAATACAAGATAAATCAGCACAGTTTTCAAGTTTCTTACAGCTTCCTGGAACGCTAATTTCAGTAATAATTATACGTCTTCCCTTCTCCAGATGTTAGCACCACCACCAAAGAGATCTGGGTCATTTTCTAGCCTTGAAGCTCTGTTTATTTGCAGACTATAGGAGACAAACCCAGAAGGGTAGAGAGAGGCATATATTGAAAAATGATTTACAAGTGACAGGTGTCTCTATGTATAACTTTCATTTAAACCTTTGGAGACAAAATAAAAAATAAAATTCGCCCTTCACCAAAACCATAGAAGACAAAACCTCCATTCTTTCAGGGCTGTCCTTATCAACAGCCATGTTTCTAGTAATGGCCTATAATGCTAGAGAAGCTGGTGAAAAATATCAGGTTCAACTCAGAGCCAACATACCAGCAACATACAGACAGAACTTGAAATATCTGGAAAGCAGGAAAATTCTGGAGAGGTAGAAAGGACAGACTTGACCAAGGTATCTGAAAGTGACATACACATTCCTCTGGCCAATTTAAAAAGAAAGAAAGAAAGAAAGAAAGAAAGAAAGAAAGAAAGAAAGAAAGAAAGGAAGGAAGGAAGGAAGGAAGGGAGAAAGGGTCTTGAAAAAGTCCATGGAAAAATATGTACCATGAAAAACTAGGCATAGTTTTCCATTTTTTTTACACCAAATTAATTTGTATTAGTACTTTAATTCTATTTTCTACAAACATTTTTTAAAAATTGTATTTATTTATTTATTTTTAGTCATTCACTGTACATCAATCCAGTATACAAAATGAGATTTTCTATCCAGAATACATTGCATATTGGCTCAATCAAGGATATTACCAAACAGGTTATCAACAACAAATAATTTTCTATTTCTTGTTTCTTATATATTTTGTTTTACTCCCCCCTCATACCCTACCTCTCACTGTCTGCCAGTTCCCCCCCTTCTCCCACACTGTCTCTGGTAGGTACAGTTGTTTTCCATCCCTTTTTTTTTTTCTCACATTTTACTGATTCACTAAAGATCTTAACTAATTTAAAAACTTTCAATAGCAAGCACAGCTGAAATATACATAACTATGAACACATGTCTGACTTTAGGCGTAAACCTCAGTGAGTAAAGTGAACATACTAGAAAGTAGCACCTAGCTGGGGCTATATAGCTTATCTCAGTCATTAAATAGGTACTAATAGTTATTTTAATGCGTTTTTTTATTTGAAGAAAAACTATTAATTTTAATAGATCAAAATAAAACATGTTATAAGAAATTTGCTTGAAACTTAAAGTCAGGAAAACGGTTAGGATTCAGTTCAAATAGTAGGTTGATGAACAGTTCAAGAGAAGACCAAAATCCTTAAATATGGAAATCAAAGCATCAAAGAAAATCAGTAATGTTTTAGTTTAAAGTCAAAAAATTCTCTTTCACTAGTTCAGACTCATGTAATTAACCTCTCTTCTATTGAATCTGGAGGGTTATTGTGGTCTGATCTTTCCATTTAAACTCTGGAAGTTAACCTTCAACTCCAGACTTGACCTCACCATCAGGCTGGCCATTCTCTTGGTTGTTTTTTGTACTCTTATTACTGTGTGCCTGACTTTAGTTTTGCACTTCTTGAAGAGCTGATATGGTGTTGGTAAATTCTTTCAACTTTTGTTTATCTCAGAATGTTTTTGTCTTTTTTTCCCATATGAAGGATAATCTTGTTGGGTATAGTATTCTGGGTTGAAATTGTTTTTCATTTAATACTTTGAATATATTTTCCCATTCTTTCCTTGCTTGTATTGTTTCTGATGAAAGATCTGATGTTAGTTCGCCTTAAGGAATATCCTTTGAAAGTCACTTGACGTTTCTCTTGTCAAATTTGGTATCTTGTCTCTGTCTGTGGTTTTAGTTAATCTGCCTACGATGTGACTTGGGGAACATCTTCTTGGGTTGATTCTATGTGGGGTCCTCTGTATTTCTTGGGTCTGGATATTTGAGTGCCCCTCTAGGTTTGGAAAGTTTTCTTCCAGGATTTCATGGAAGAGATTATCAATGCCCTTCTGAGTCTCTTTGCCTTCTGGGATACTAATCACCCGGATGTTTGGGTGTTTAATGGTATCTAGTATTACTCATATGTTATTCTCATTTTTTGGGTTATTTTCTCAGTCTTTTTGGTGAATTTTTCTAGGTCAGAGATTCTATCTTCTACATCTAATATTCAGTCTTCTGCATGATCTAATCTGCTTTTGATATTTTCAAGGGAAGTTTTGATTTCCTGTATTATAGCCTTCATCTCTAACAATTCTAATTCTGTTTGATTCTTTTTTATGATGTGTATTTCCTCTTTCAGATTGTGCAAGAACTTCCTCACCTCCTGGAACTCAGTGTATCTTTTCTCTTACATCTTCTGAAGTTTGTTGTCTCTCTTCTCTTGCATCTCTGTTAGCTTTGTCACTATGACTATTTTAAATTCTTTATCTGACATTTCCATCAGTTTCCTTGCATTCTCTGTGGAGGAAGAAGACTTATTCTTTTCCCTTAGAGGAGCGGTATTTCCTTGGTTTCTTGTATCTACAAATTTTTTGGACATTTCCCTGTGTAAAGGAATCTCTGAATGTAAGTCTGAAATTCCTAAGTGGCATGTTGTGCTTTTTAGAGACCCTAGGAAAGGCTGTGCTCTGAAGCTAAAGGCAGAGGTGCTCACCACTTAGAAGCCAACGACTACTAAGGAAGAACATGCCTGGATTTCCCCCCAGCTCTTTGCAGGTATTAGGTGCTCAATGCATATTTATATTTTAAAAAGGTAATAAAATGAATAATTATGATGATAGGTGAAGGTGGCCGAAAGGTACCTTTAACCTGGGCACAAACAAGACACATCCAGTGGGATTTTTTTTTGTGACACTTAAAGCTGAGTTTAAAGGTTAAGTAGAGCATTGCCGAGAAAGCGAAGAGTGACCAGGGTTCTAGGCAGATACAAAGTCATGGCTGTTCAAAGAAGAGAAGTTGGGCTAGAGCAAATAGCTTAACTTGGTAGAAAATACAGTTGAACTGAGCCCTGAATAATGGGTAGAATTTGAACGGAAGTGAAAGGGAAGGAAAAAGAACAGTGTATATTAAGATACTGCTGGAAGAAACGGAATGTGAGACATTTACTCTTTCAGTAAATATTTATGGAATACCTACTCTGTTCCAGGCCAAGGGCTAAGAGCTTGAGGTGCGAAACAGCTTAAATGTAACTTGAACAACCAAACAAAACTCCCATGAGACTGGTACCATTCTCCCCTATAGAGAGAAGGAAATTGAGGCTTTGCAATGAAGAGGAAGCAATCTGTCCAAGGACACAGAGCTAATAAATAGCATAAATCTAGCTTTTAAGTATGTTTTACTATAACCAGGTTTTTGAGAGCACTGACTGAGTTATTTTGTTTCCTAACATCATAGTTCAAGCTCAGAGTATGTGGCAGAACTCAGGTTGTCCTTAATCTGCTATTCAAATAAATTATGAACCGTGCTTACTTTCCTTATATAAATTCTTTTTCTGCTCTGAAGGATATATATGTGAGAGCCATGAGTTCTCATTTATAAACACCCCAGGTCTTTTGACACAATTACAAAGACCACAGATCAGGCTTCAGAAATAGCCTGATAACACCAACTAGCTAATGATTTAGTTCACCCCCTCTTGGCCTTGCTCAGCTAGCCAGGGATACAGACCCAGTGGCCATCTGAGAAAGAGCAGCAGGTCCCACTAAAAACATGTTTTATCAAGACAAAGTCAGACTCAGGATTTGTGTGGAAAAGGTTAAACATGCTCCATGCAGAAAAACTGAGACTCCTACTTTGCTGACTGCCTGAAGATTATTCTGTAAAAGACATGTCTTTCAAGAAGTTGAGTTTAAACTGCTCAGAGGTTGTCTGAAGTCAGACTTGAACTGGTCAGGTTCTCTATCACTTGCCAAGTGCAATGCGGCTTTCTCCCATCTGAATAACTCTTTTGAAAGCAAGAAAGTTCTCAGTCCATAGGTGTATTTCTACACACAAACTTATATCCATACAAGTAGTTTTGACAAAGAACAAAAACCAGCCTAAAATTTTCTACTGAGATTAATCATGTGCCCTTACGTAAAAGAGGGAAAAAGGTAGAGTTTTGTTTGTTTTAGGTTCACTGAAAAGTCAATTAGGTCTATAATAGGTTTTTTTTTTTTTTTCTTTATATCCTTGGCCATTCAGTTAAAATTTTTACTTTTTTTATTTATGTAAAAAAAAAAGAGGTGTTTCCAGGACCAACAGTTAACATAATGGCTATGTCACTGGACTCGCATGTAGTCAACCGTTGTTTGAGTCCCGGACCTGGTAGCTTAAACTCACACCAGACGCGTATGCATGCGTGCCCAAGATTCCCAGATGAGAATGAAGGAGAAGGGATTGCGGTGTGGCCATCCACCTGGGGGGCGATTTCTCACTTTCTGTCTCTCTGTCTCTCTTTCTAGCGAGTGCATGCGCCCTACAGCAAAAACCTCTCCCAAAAAAAAAAAAAGAGGTGTTTCTTTTGGGCTTATAAAATCCCTCAAGACTATAATCAGAAATAGCAACATTAATATAAATTTTCTCCATCATTAAATAGTAAATTAGTTTCTCTTTAAAATTTTCTTTTAGCACTTTATTAGAATACAGTTTAGAAGTGTGAGTTCATACTATGCTTTCACATCGATTTTTACATTCCATTTGGAGAAATTACTCTAATATAATTATCTGTGTTTATGATGTCTCATATAAAAACATTGCATTTGAAATCTTTAAGGTAAGCAGACCTGG